TTGTCTTAAGGATCACAGTTTCTGTGCCCGTGAAGGAGTTTCCCGTGATATTTAGGATGTGTGACATAGAGGAGCTACAGGCTCATAATAAAGGGGAATTTTCTCTGCCACGGAAAGTGACACCCTTTCCAATGGGCATTGTAAAATTGAATGTCAAAACATCAATATTTCAGTGAGGGTAGTTCAGCTGTCAGGGGGCTCACCTGCTGATTCCACTATGTTTAAGGGATCATGGTTCAAAACTCAGTGGCAACAGTCACCTTCAGAATTATCTCAACATTCAGGGTCCTATTCCATTGAATGACTAAAGTAGAGGAAACCCCCCCCCCCAAACATGGGATATCTGTGCAGTATTGACCGAGCTAAAGCAAGATTTATTAGCAGGTGTTGTCTGGGCTGCAGTTTCAGAGACAGTGAGGTCCAGGTCTACGCAGTAACTTTTGTAATGGAATCAGAAATTGAATCAATCTGATGAGAGGAGAATAATTGGGGGGGTAGGGGGAAGAGGGAGAGGGAGGAGGAGAGGCAAGGCAATAGGAGTGGAAAACTCTTCAGTTACACCTTCAATGGATGCCCTAAGCTGACAGCAAGATTTTGAAACAGAGAAATATAATCCAGACTTATAGAGTTTAGTAATGGAAATGATTTTGGATTTCCACTTATTCCTGAAGAGTTTTGCACGTTGGAAAGAATTTAGGACAATAGATGGTGAGGGACAAAATTCCCCATTGGGTTGAAGAGATTGACAAGGAAAGATGGGGTTCATAGATTAAGTTGGCACTGGTTGCAATGTGTGAGTGGAAGCCTGCAGGAATTTGCACTTTGGCTGCAAAGGTTGGGTGGTACGAAGATGATCTCAAGAGCCCTCAGTGAACAGCGCTACAAGACTGGGGAAATCTCAGGGGTGGGGAAAGAGGGCTTCCATGAGGATATCTGGGAGACTGAAGACATGTTTTGTCCATGTCTAGTGGTGCTCACTGCCACACGTGAGCAGCGAGGATGAGCCTTGATGAGCTGTTTTAGGAATTACGGAGTGAAGCAAAATATTCAGAGAGATTTTCAGTGGGTGTAAATTACCCTTAATTGCTTGCAGTGAGGGGAACTATTCCTTAAAGCTGAGGATCTTATTCATGATCCGAATGTTTTCAACAAATCAAGATTGCCCCTCGGAGACAGTGCATAATAGTGTCTTTTTGACACTAGCAGATTGTTTTGGCAAAGTAGAGTAGTAACATTTTTCAGATTAGCAGTGCTCACCAGAACACTTCTGCTACTAGACAGTGGCTTAAATATAGTTCAATTTCTGCACAGCAGATGGGAGAAAATGTAAGTTTTATGGTATATATTGAATAAGGGTTATTATTTTTTCAAATTTATAGTCTTCAGTCTGATTTTTTATATATCAGCTAGCTATTTAAGAACACAAGCATGAAAGATTACACATTTAGTGGATATTTTTAATGTTGTGGTTTGTTTTTTTTTTTTTTGATTCTTATAGCCGTTCACCTAGCGTGTTACTGCTCTGGTAAGACATACTACGTGCACAGTCCAGATCACATAACATACTCTTCGAATTACACACCAGTTTTTATTATTTTTTTGCATTTTCCATATTCGTGATTGTCAGGGCTATATGCAAAGTAAATAGGGAATACAAGCTAGTGCTTTAAATATATCAGCAAATTATTTTTATTTTTAAAGCCTAGATTGCTTTTTATATAGGCAAAGTGTGAGTAAGAAGACATGCTTGCGTTTTGCCCTCATTTGAGGAGGCGAGTAGCATTTTGGAGATCCAGAAACAAGATGTAAAGGTGCACTTATGTCCTAGAGTAACTGATGACATCAGTTTCAAGTGCAAATATTTCTCAGTTCTGTGTGCTCTGAGTCCTGTTTGTGCAGAAAGTGATAGCATTTTATAAAAGAGCATCTTTAAACCCAAAATACAGAATGATTGAAGGTCAGTTTTGCCTTCACTTCCCGCTCAAACCTGTAAATGCAAATGACAGAGAAGGCACTGGAATCAGAACACTGCATTCCCTCTATTGCTGTCAGTGTTAGTCATATCTACTGCTGCAAGTGCAACACTGAATGTTGAAGTTATGCCTCGATGAGGAAAAAACCACCAAAACCAACAGCACCTTTCAGTTTTGTGAATGTTGTGATGTTGTGTATGTGGACTTACGGACTTCATACATATGTACTTCATAGAACAGCTGATGTTGCAGTGCTAGTAATGCTTGGAAGAAATATAGTATTTTAATTTTCTTTATTTTAAAAAATCCATATAAATATGTATATCTATTTCAGTAATAAAGGTAATGAAATGCAATTTAATAAATAACTATTACGAAAACAGAAAAAAAATTAACTACCAGATACTTCTGCTTTGGGAAGTATCACACTTGAAAGGCAATGTGCTGAAAACTATATATAACAACCTAAAAAAGAGGGCTCTAAGAGGAGTAGGAAGACTTATTCTGAAGGAGGGGAGGAAGGGAGGGAAGAGTGTTTCAGAGCAGAAAGTACTGCCACACAGCTGAATAAAAATAATTGGAATTCTGGAGACCGTGTGGCGAAAGTATTTGAGAATGAGTAAACGACAACGATTTTTTTTCCAGGGGGTGTGAGTATTCTGCTTGTCATCAGATTGTGCTGTCTAGCATATGGACTGTTTTTCCGTTGGTATTTTGGGTGCGTTTTTCAGTTCTGTGCTGTGGTGTGTGCCTGGGGACCGTGGCACTCCATATGGTGGCTTTCATACTTTCCTGCAGGTGTAAAAGAAAGGATATGAGAGAACACTGTTCGAGGTAAAGGTTAGAGCAATTCTAGGTTTGAAATGTCTGTTCAGAGCAAGAACAAGACATTTCACACCGCTTAGCAGAAAGACTCTAACATATTGTAAATGTTTTACTGACATTTCTTAAGAAAATCCATTTTGTATTTTTATCTCTGTTAAATAACAATCTGCTGCCTTTTTGAAATAAACTGACAGTTTATCAATATCAGATGTCTCCAACCTGATGTAACTTAGACACAGGAAGGGAAAGTAAAGGGTGCATAAACAGCCTCTACTACAAACAGTGTTTATCTTATTTGAACTGAGTGGTAGAAAGTGAACGTATCACTGAGGAAGCACAGCTACTCTCCTTAACACTCATGGCAGTAACTACCCTGTGATACAGTCAGGATTTACCCAAAGGGCCAGATCAAACCTGAGCTATGACTAGTTGGGATTAATCATTTTACACTATGCTCTGCCAGCGAGGATGACACCTGCGTGTTAATCTTGCCGCGAAAGGAATCTCAGTCCATGTCAGAGAGACGTCTTTCATGACCATAGCATCATGTCTTGGAAATTAGGGTCTTTAGGTAAGACGTTGCCTATTCTTTTTGTTTTGCCTGTAGGAAGACAGTGGATTTTCACATATGGAAGCTTTCAAATCACTGCTGCTTAGCAAACACGCTCAGTGGGTTTGTGGTTTATCCCACCAGTCTCAAAGCAAAGCCTTTCTGGTGCAGGGCAGTACCACAGAAGGGATTACTATAAAAAGGCTTTAAATACAGTCTGTAATCAGAAGAGCTTTTTATTTGTTTCATGTTTCTGCCCTCTAGGTACCTTTGGCAGCACGCTGCATAGGCGTTCTGCAGCTAAAAGGGCCTGACATGCTGAAAACAGATAGTAGAGATCACATTTCACTCAGTTTTAATAGTAGTGGGTAGGGATATTATGATAATCTATCCAGAGCATTTAATGTGTATGTGATTTAACGTCTAGCCTTTTTAGATTAATTAAATGTGGAAAGGATGAAATCTTTCTTCCCTGGCTTCCTAAGTAGCAGCGGTTCACTCCAAATGAATGCCTTGTTATCTGTTTTAATTTTGTCCTCGTTTTCACCTTATGTTTGGCACTTCTTAAATACTTCTCATCTGCCCCATTGCTCACTCAGACAAGAGGGATGCATGTTTCAGAGAGAGCGTTACTTACCTGGGGTTAATGCAGGTGACTCCCTTGAAAGGCAAAGCTACATTTGGTTCTGACTGACAGAACCTACACTTTTAAAAATGTTATCCTAAGTATACATTTTTCCTTGGCAAGAGAAGGCTCACAATTGTAAAAGGCAGAAAAAACCTTGTTTAAGTATTGAAGAGTCTGTTTTTTTTTGTAAATGATTTTTTTTTTTAGTGAGTTCTACCAGTTATAAAATGATCAAGGTTTTGAAATAAAAATGGACAAGATGCACAAAAAGATAAAAATTGTATGTGGTAGTGCTGAAATATCACTTGTCATTAAATCAAGGCTTCATTGAAAATGTAAAATCACATTATCCTCTGATCTTTCTGAACATATTTGTGTATACGTACATAAACTAGTCTAACATGCTTCTCACTGTGCCTGACATTTACTTTAGGAATGTAGTAAAAATGAGTAGGGAGACTCTGAGGGCTTTTTAGCGGGTCAGATTCAGATCAGAACAAATCAGAACATCTACTGTGACGAAGAATCAATCAAATTGTTCTGATTCATCTTATACTCCCTTATTTTACTTTTCAGTTATATGGAAGAGAGTTAACGCTAGCATACGTCCTCGCCATTAATATAACTTCATGCCTGTAGTTGGTTTGTAATTATATCATGGTAATGGCAAGTAGAGCAGACTGTAGCAGGCAGAGGAGAAAAAAAACAAACCAAATAATTGTAAATAACTACACTTGCTTAGATTATTTTAAAGAGAAAAACTTTCAGCATTTGTACTGGGGAAACTGGTATATTAAGAGAACAGTCATGAGAAAACTTTATAGCTATAAACAGATATATCAGCAGTAATCATACCATCCAAGGAATGCACTCTAAACTCTCAGAGACTTAATATGTGAACTCAACTGTGTTGATGATGAGAAAAATCATAAATAAACATTTTTGATGCATTATGTGAAAGCTGCAAAGAATTTGCATTCTTTAAAAACAAAAAAGTTCTGACAACAGATCTTGTCTTTTTCCCGGATAGGTACCTATTACCCCATTTCTCTGGTGAAGCCTATTCAGCAGTGGTGACTTCTTCCAATCGACCACTCCACAAATTATTATCTCTGGACTCCCAGCTGACACCCTGCCGGAGGCCAGAGCTACTGAGACAACTGGAATTGTGCCTGCTCTCGTCAAGGTTTTTTCTTTCACGGGGGAAAAAAAAAAAAAGATGAAGTTGGGCAAAGTGGAGTTCTGCCATTTTCTGCAGATACTAGCTCTTTTCCTGTGTCTTTCTGGGATGAATCAAGCAGAGCTCTCAAGGTCCAGATCAAAGCCCTACTTTCAATCAGGGAGAACGAGAACCAAGCGCAGCTGGGTGTGGAATCAGTTCTTTGTGCTGGAAGAATACATGGGTACAGACCCACTCTATGTAGGAAAGGTAGGGGATTTAAACACTTTGGAGGGTGCAGATGCTTGCTTTTTGACATGTTTGTATGGTGCAACCTGAAAATTGTAATTCTGTCAGCATGGTTGACTTAAGCCAGGATGGGATGAAGTTTCCTAGTTTGAAAAAGAAAAGTGTTTAGCTCTTCGACACCGCAACATGTTACATTGCTGATTCCTCTTGTGATTTTCTTTAAGAGCTCTACATGTTAGCTATGCTTCATTAAAGGAGTACAATAATGAAAGTGTTTTACCACCATTGATACAAAGAAAGCATTTTATTACTGATGTTAGATGCATTTTTTAAAACAGGAATAGAGAAATGTAATGATGAACATTCTTCTATAAGAGCTAACGACGAGTCCCAGAAAACAGAAGTTCTGTGTTATGTTGTTTGCTCCCTAAAGATCGTCCCTGCTGAAGGCAAAAGGGAAAGAATCAGGCGTCTGGGGGTGTGACGAGTAAAAAGGAGGGCATGGCTGAGGGCATGGCTGCGTTACTGCTTTGCTGTGTCGTTGCCTGGCTGGCAGATTGTCACCTCAGGGGCCTCGCTGCCCTCTGTGTGTCGCACAGCCTTGCCGCTTTACCTTCCCTCTGTCGGGCGCCAGGACAGCGCAGAGGATGCCTGTACACCAGGGCATCCCAAATGCTTGTTTGGGGCGCCCACCGCTGTCTGTGGAGCACAGCTGTGAATCCAGGTCTTAGAGCGTTCGCTGCGGTGCGCTAGCGATTACAATGGATACACTTTCTTTGGCGATTAGGATGGAAAAAAACAGAACCCAAACAAAAAACCCTCTTGTGTTTCTATGTAACGTTTATGTGTAATCATCTTAGTGAAAGAACACCCCGTTTTCCTGTGTAGTATCAGAATCAATAAATGGAGTTTCTCATTAAAGAATAGCAAACACATAGAGAAGAAGGGAGTGACAGCTTTTGGCGAAATGGCATGCTTACAGAAAAGGAGATGAAGTAATCCGAAATCCACTGCTTCAAGTATACGAGTGCAATGAATTTCAGCTTAATTCGTCCTACTGAGACAAAAACCTTGATGTTTGTGCTAACACAGTTAAGCACTTAGAATTTAATCATGCCAACTGAATAATCAAGTTAAATGGGGAACTGCTCTCATGATTACGGCTGTGGTTGTGTTTAGGTGCTTTTCTGAACTGGAGCTGGTATGTCGCACAATTGAGCCCTTAAGAAAGACGTGTTAGAATCAGAAATATCATCTCTCATTACAGTGGTCCTGAAAATTTTTAAGTTTTAGGTTATGTAGCAGTTTCCATTCTGATGCCATGCAGCTGCCGCTTGGCTTTGATTTTGGTCTTTTAGGCAAGTTTGTTCTCAGGTTGGAGCTTCTCTTGTGCCCCTGGAAAATGGCTTATTTGGCATTCTTGTCCGCTGATAAAAAAGGAAGCGTGGCTTGCAAGTTAGAATTTCTCTCCTGGAAAAGAAGTGTCTTTAAATACTCGACTGAACACTGGTTTTGATCTGTAGGAATTTTCATATTCATTCAGTTGCTGTGTTATGGCCAAAGATGCTGTGGTAGCGCTAGAGTACATGATATTTGCACATATGTGGTTATTTTTAGCTTCACAGTCTGCTCTTTACTGTCCTTTACAGGAGTCCTAGCATTCATAAGCAGATATCTTCTGAAACGCAAACCTTTTTTTTCTGAAACAATCTGTGCCCAGCCTGCTTTCTGCATCAGCAGTACGAATTGTTGGCTCAGGAACTCACATTTCTACCAGCAAATTCATTTTGTAGGAAAAGCAGATAAAAATTTGCACTTGCAAAAGGAAGCCCATCTTCCTGGAAACAGAGTCCTTGCTGAGCATCTTCTAAGATAAGACATGCCCAGTTCCTAACCTTCTCACTGGAAAGGCTTTTTACTGTGTGGTTCCTGAGGTGCAATCATGACCGAAGCTGCATTCCCACGCAGGGGAGCAAAAAGGTGAAGAAGTGATTTTCTTTCTGTATGTTAACATATTATGTGCAGCGCCACTCTGAAGTGAGCAGCAGTTGCCTTCCTCCCCCTCTTCTCCCCTTAAAACATCGCTGCTGTTCTTTGCAGGCAGGTAGGGACTGAGAAGACTGAGATTTGGCTGGGAAGGTGGGTTGTTTTTTCCTTCTTTCCCCTTGGTAAAGAAGCTATGGCAAGCGAAGAGCTGGCATAACTGGATTCTCTCATCAAGTGAAGTGGAAGCAGCAGCCAGACTCTGCCTCATATTCTGCAGAGTGCTCTGCTTCTGGGGAGGTCAGTCCTGCGCTGCCTTACGTTCAGGGTGCTTTGCAGGGTGCCAATCTAACTGCACATCCAGGAATAAGGAACCTTCCCCCACATTTTAAGGGCTCTGAGATAAAAATGCTTCAGAAATACTCGGGCAAATGGAGCTGCAATAGAGAATGTTTTTTCCCCGCTATTCAATTTTACAGAGCCCTAGGCAATTCTGTTTGGAAGGCAGCATTCGGAGAATGTTAAGGTTATGCTGCAAATCATTCAAGAGTCATGAAACACCAATGTTAATTCCATGTTCAGCATTAACTCTGTCCTCCTGGGTGTGTGCGTTCTGACATCTTAATTACCTGATCATGCAGGGTAAAATCTTATTCCTTTTAAATATTGTAACATGATTCCTATTCGCCTCAGTAAGATGAGTCTTTCACTTAAAATAATTTTTCAGTGTTTTCATGTTTGTTTAACAAGACTTCAGATCCGTACCTGAGTTATATTGCAGCCTTCCTTGCAAGATATTAATTTATTGGCAGAATGTCGGTTTTGTTTTGTTTTTTTTAGATGTGTTTATTATCTTAAGGAAGCAGGAGCCTGTTTCTCACATGACTCTGGAGAAACCTCTGGAGGAGTTCCATTAGTTTTACACTAATAGGAGTCAGAGGTGACTGACGTTTTTTGCCTTTTTTTTTTTTTAGTGTAGGTCTTTCCTCTCCATGGTATGAATTTTAATTGTCTTGTATTCAATCCTGAGTAATTCTGAGTGCCTCTTGGGAGGTGCTTAGCATGTAATCAGATTGTGGACTCAACCATATACAATTTCTGTCAGTCTGCACACCATATGTTATCTTCACTTAAAGGGTTGCGGATTTTACCTATTTAGCTCATTTACCTGTTCAGATAGGCACTGTTATCTTCCAAACATGCCATGCAGGAGATGAGGCAGTTAACTATGATGCTAATTTAGCTAGAAGCATAGGTGGCTGCTGTTTTCTAGAAAATGTTTACTATTGCTTGATAATACGTTTTGCAAAATGCCTTACTCTGTATTTTCCATATAAATGACTTTAATGGAATCTATTTGAACACAAAAATATAGTACAGAGCAGTTTTAAATGATTCAGTACATAAACACTAAAATTAGGAAAAAAATACATGCTATTATATTGAATATTTGAAAAGCTGTATACGATCATGTAATTAAAGTCTATATGGTACACATTGGCAAAGAGAGGTGCAGTTAAAGTAGAACTTTGAAATTTTGTTGATTTTGTTTTTTTTTTGTTACACAACTATCAGAAATCCAGTTGTTTTTTTTTTTTGTAGTTGTTGCTTTTTGGTGGGCGGTGGTTTGTGTTTGTTTGTTTGTTTTTGGTTTCATTTCACCAGTGTTCTGCTGCAAGTGTCAGCCGCCGCAAAAGCGTTATAATGACACAAAGTCTCAGTCAGTAATCCTTTCATTTTTCTTATTAAAAAAAAATAAAAAAAAACAACAAACAAAAGCAGCCCCAAATAAACCTGAGGAAGTGAAATAAGGCTGTGAACTCCACGTGAGATTCTGATTGATGATTGGCTTCACTGTCTCCTTTTGAATCCAAACCAAGGCTCCTTTTCCAATGGCTCTAAATTGAGGCATAGTTAGACAGGCACAGTTTGAAGTTCTTTGCTGAGTTCAACTCTGTTTTTTTGCTGAAACCTCCCTAAGATATGAAGGACTGAAAATAAAAGAGAAAAAGACATAGGCTTGATTGAGCACAAACCCAAGAAGTTGATATTTAACTTTGAAAGGCTCACTGGTACTTCTCAAAAAATAATGCTTGGAACTTATAAGGTTCCCTGTGTGTATTTGTTATTTATAATGTGTGAGGAAGGCAAGCATAAATCCCAACCTGCATTTTCTAGATGGTAAAATCAAGGAAAAAAGGTTAAATGAGTGGACTACGAGGATGTAGTTTGTTAGAGCTCACAATCGTTGCCTTCCAATTCCATTTTACTGGCCTCTGTTTTTCTTCGAAGTATTTCAAGATAGAAAGGCTTGTTGGATTCAATTTTCAAACCTGGACCAAAGTGCATAAAAGCTAATATTTGCATTATTATTTTCTGTAGTAGTACAGAATGAGTGAAGCATACGAAAAAATGCAGTGAATTTAAACATTTCCCAGAAAATCAGTGCATTTAAGAGAATTTACAGGTTTGCACCAAGGGAGAGTGGAGAAATGGCTTTTCAAGCAGCAAAATAACAAGAAGTGTATGTTATTGTCGCAACAGAGAGTGGATTGTTTTTTCTAGCCTCATGGTTTTGGAGGGAAGAAGGCTAGGCAGGGAAGGATACCTTTTTTTTTTGTTTTTCAAAGGTGTTGGTGAATGTGTCAGTAAGGTGATAGAATTATTCACATATGATATTCATCTGTTGTGTGTGACCTTATATCAAGCTATACAGACGTAGTGAGAAGTAGGGCTCTGTTTCTAGATCATAGCCTGCCACTTTCTGATGCAGCCGATGACTTTTCGACTGACTTGGATAACGAGAGTCTTTGCTAAAATACTTTGAGGCGGTGGATGCTGCAGAAGCAGTGGCTGCTCAGACTCCGATAGATACATGGGAGTATCAGCCACTGAGAAATGGAGGGAACTTCATCTGTGAATGAAAGAGCTGAGGAGCTCTGAACAGAAATTAGCCCAAATAGCTTTTCATCTCTCTAGAAACTACACTGCAGCAATTTTACTGATACTTTGGGAAATGGAGAGGAGACAGGGTGAAA